TAGCCTGTTCCTATAATTTAAATCCGAATTCTGCCAAACCTTCTCCAAACAGACTATATCACCTGTCCCCTTTCCCATTCGATAAAAAAATGAGAACATATGCAGAAATTATATAAATATGGTCCCTCATAAAAAAAAAATAATAGTTGTTTAAATTGTGCCCAAATATTGGCTTATTTTTACTAAAAATTTTTGCGAGGTTTTGGTTTATAATTAGTATTTCTGCCATCATAATCAAAGACACTCAGGCCCAGACCGGGTTTAGGGCCGGGTCGAGCCTTAAAATATAAAACCCGGGCCGGTAATGAGGGCAAGGTACCTCTGCAGGTCTCTGATTATAATCTTGCTCGGTAAAATGTTGAATTTTTTTTTACTAAATCTTAATATAGGCTCCCACATTTTAATAAAACGATTTTTATCGACAGAGAACCCAGCGTATAAACCAGGTCTTTCTTACTTAGGGTCTTTTCTTATATTATAATATTTCCCGAACCTTACTTCCTCGAATTTCTTTTTGTCTCATTTTTCCAAGTTAACATCATTATACGGTAACAGTAGCTTATAGACAATGAATTTTGCATCCCATTAAACTCAATAACGATTTGTTTTTTCTTACCCCCCCCCCCCTCTCACTTCAATTTCAGTGATCTTCATGGTTCTGGCGTAAGGAATCATTAATTAGCTTTAAAAATTGATAAATATAATATAATTAAGAAAGAAAAAAGGAATGGAACGAAAGAAAGAAAGAAAGATAGAAAGAAAGAAAGAAAGAAAGAAAGAAAGAAAGAAAGAAAGAAAGAAAGAAAGAAAGAAAGAAAGAAAGAAAGAAAGAAAGAAAGAAAGAAAGAAAGAAAGAAAGAAAGAAAGAAAGAAAGAAAGAAAGAAAGAAAGAAAGAAAGAAAGAAAGAAAGAAAGAAAGAAAGAAAGAAAGAAAGAAAGAAAGAAAGAAAGAAAGAAAGAAAGAAAGAAAGAAAGAAAGAAAGAAAGAAAGAAAGAAAGAAAGAAAGAAAGAAAGAAAGAAAGAAAGAAAGAAAGAAAGAAAGAAAGAAAGAAAGAAAGAAAGAAAGAAAGAAAGAAAGAAAGAAAGAAAGAAAGAAAGAAAGAAAGAAAGAAAGAAAGAAAGAAAGAAAGAAAGAAAGAAAGAAAGAAAGAAAGAAAGAAAGAAAGAAAGAAAGAAAGAAAGAAAGAAAGAAAGAAAGAAAGAAAGAAAGAAAGAAAGAAAGAAAGAAAGAAAGAAAGAAAGAAAGAAAGAAAGAAATATTATGATGTTATATATATTTTTAAAAACTTCAAAAGAAATGTTTTGTTTAAATTTTTTTATAATGAATCATCTTAATAATTGAGAATAATTTTTTCAAAAATAATTTTTAATATCTTTTTACTCCCCTTTTAAAAATTAAAAAAAATAAGTTAATAATAAAATATGCCACAAAAGATGACATTAATTATCTTCTCTTTATCTCTTTCTTTTCGCCTCTATTGCAAAACATCCTAGAAAAGTCGATATTTTTAATAATGGCTCATGCGCTGAGTCACACCGGAGAAACCAATCTGAATCCTCATTTTTAATAATTACGCATGCGCTGTGTCGCACCGGAGAAACCAATCTGAATCCTCATTTTTAATAATTACGCATGCGCTGTGTCGCACGGGAGAAACCAATCTTCTTGCTACAAATTTAAATAAATTATAAAAAAGGGTTCTTCGGGGTTTAGCGATTCGGGGCTATTGGCCCGTTTTTGTTTAAGGGCTCCTTTCATTTTGAAAAAATTATTTGAAATTGCTAAAATACGAAACTGCGTTAGCGCGATTAAATATAATATATCAGTGACATATGATAATACCTAGACTGACGATGCATTCATTCATAAAGCATTTGAATGCGTCGTTGAATGCAAATCAGCTGGACCAGCCATTTTGGTAACCCATATACTGATCATTCTCATGTTTAAAAAAACTACTATTAAAATGATAACTTTGCTTCCTCATTATCTCGGTGATCAGGCAATACCTTTAATAAAGTTTACCATCAGACATAGGATAGGAATAAATTTTTTAATAATCACATGGGCAATCAAAATGGCGTCCCCAGCTGTTTTTCATTGATGTTACACTTTTAACTAGGTATTATTATATCTCATTGAATATATACGCAGATGATATTTTCCCTCTTTATTCCATTTTATTTTATCGTTATTTCTAGATTTTTAGAAAATTTTAAGAATTATAATAAAATTTTCATCCTTCATGAATTCAAAACTTCCATGACCTTTCCTGAACATTTATCGTCTGAAGAACATCTAAAAATAAAATCTTTAATCCTAAAATCCTACCCCCCCCCCTTATTCCTTACATTCATTCCTACCAGAGTTGTTAAAGGATCTAGGTATAAATATGGTATCTGTATCTAGATAGATTTTTGATTAATATCTGTATCTAGATATTATTTTAGACTATGTATCTGTATCTAGATCCATTTAAAATGTACCTTTTAACAACTCTGATTCCTTCATTTAAAAATTTTTTTTTTGGTTATTTTTATAATTTCATCAGGTTTTTGACTTGTCTTATTGGTAAATTTTTTTTATAATATTAATTTAAAATTTAATTTTAAAATTTAATTTAAAAATTTAAAAAAATATATATTTCAATTCATTTTTTTTTATTAACACAACTGTTTTAAATTTTATATAAAAAAATTATAATATTTTTCTATACAGAATTAACAAAAAAACCATATGAAATTTTTTTTATTTTTTGGCTAGGAATTTTTTATTGTTTATAAAAAAAAATGTCAGTTGTTTTAAACTTGGGTCGGGCTAAAAAAAATTTTTATATCTCTTAGCGGGCGGAGCTCTACCCGAATTTAACAAGCTCGGGTCTGAGTCGAACCGGAAAAAATCTGTTCCAGACCGACCCCAAGCCCGACTAGAATAGATTTGGAACTTTTCACACTGTTTAACTTAATATGAGCTAAAAATTTCTTCCCGTATACTTAAGATATTCCATATGTATTTTTATATTTTAAAATTTCTAATCTTTTCTGAAATTATTTTTAAATTTTACATCCATTTATAAGATATATATTAGATAAAAAACAAAAATTATATGAAATGCAAAATATTTTCAAGCTAGATTTTAGGTTGGCTTATAGTATATTTTTTTAATTTAAAACCTGATAATTTTCATCCAAAATTCTTTCTTTCTTTTCCTTCCTTCCTTCCTTCCTTCCTTCCTTCCTTCCTTCCTTCCTTCCTTCCTTCCTTCCTTTTCCTTCCTTCCTTCCTTCCTTCCTTCCTTCCTTCAAATACGAATCGTGATCACGTGAAATTGTTAATTTGGGAAAATGGAAATTACTTAAAAAAATGAACAAGTGAAATGTGTTAGTTCTGATTGACATTTCGATGAAAGCAATGTGATTATTGAGGATATTTCTTAATATTTAGTTTTCGCTGAGCTCGAGAAAATAGAATCTTCAATATTCCGAGCCCAACCCGACCCTGTCGGGCTTCTAGCAATCCCTGCAGAGTTCTATATGTGGGACAGTTTTGATGGTATTGATAGGATTTAAATCTGGAAGTGGAATAATATTTCAAAATTATTATCCATCATTTAATTCGATACAAATTAAGATACCTTTAAGTCAAATAAAGAAGTAACTGTAACAGGAAAATCATTGATTTTAAACCTTTTTTTATGGGGAACAAATTTTAATTCCGTAAACTGCTAACAATCCTTCTTTCAAATGCTAATTATCAAATTTAAAATTTATTATAAAAATAATTAATACTTTTCTTCTATTAATCAGATAATAATGAATTATGAATTAATTATTAAAATATTCCAAATAACCCCACAAAATTAAAATATTTTATAAAAATTATTTAATTTTTATATTTTAAGATATAAAATCTTTGTTAATTAACAAAGTAAATCCAATAGGGTATAATGTTTTTTTTAGTATATATTAAAAAAAAAATAAGTTTACCCTCTTAGGGAGTATTTTATGACGTGATTAGGCATAATCCCTACCCCACAGAGCCGTAATTAAAGGGGCGGGGGCGAATTTGAAGGCCCGGTCTCTCCCCCACGAAATTTGTGCCCGATTCTCATTTATATAAAAAAAATATATTTTGCGTTTTTGGGCCAATCTTATACACACTTAGAGAGGTGAATTATAATGAAATATATATAAATTACCGGGGGCAATGTGTAATTTTTTTTTAATTGAGCGCTATTAAATTTAAAAATTAAAAATCTGATTTTACCGGAAATCTAAAAAGAAAGAAAGAAAGAAAGAAAGAAAGAAAGAAAGAAAGAAAGAAAGGAAGGAAGGAAGGAAGGAAGGAAGGAAGGAAGGAAGGAAGGAAGGAAGGAAGGAAGGAAGGAAGGAAGGAAGGAAGGAAGGAAGGAAGGAAGGAAGGAAGGAAGGAAGGAAGGAAGGAAGGAAGGAAGGAAGGAAGGAAGGAAGGAAGGAAGGAAGGAAGGAAGGAAGGAAGGAAGGAAGGAAGGAAGGAAGGAAGGAAAGGAAGGAAGGAAGGAAGGAAGGAAGGAAGGAAGGAAGGAAGGAAGGAAGGAAGGAAGGAAGGAAGGAAGGAAGGAAGGAAGGAAGGAAGGAAGGAAGGAAGGAAGGAAGGAAGGAAGGAAGGAAGGAAGGAAGGAAGGAAGGAAGGAAGGAAGGAAGGAAGGAAGGAAAGAAAGAAAGAAAGAAAGAAAGAAAGAAAGAAAGAAATTGGAATACCCACTACCCTATATATTCCAGACAATTTTTTTCCAAGAACCTTTAAACTTTAATAATAAAATTTTTAATCATATTTTCACAGACTTTTCATTATATAAATTATGTATAACTTCAAAACAGCAAAATTGTCTACAATTCATAAGATAAGAAGTATTCCAAAACATGATAAGAATATATTCCGATAAAATCCTATTTTCAAATTTTAATCCCACAAAGAGAAACGCATTTAAATCTATACAAAAAAAAACAAACCACAAAGTTTTATGTCAACAGCCAAAACCGGAAGACGCCGTTCACGAACCGCTAATAATATCGGAACCGCCCACCAACGTTAAACTGGAGGAGTGCAGCGGGCGGAGCGCTTCTATCAGATGGGACCCCCCGCTAAAAACGGACGTTCTGAGGTACGATATATTGGGGCACTTGTTGGGTACACCCGATGGATCGTTGGAAAAGTTAGGTAGTTAATTTTGTATTTCGTTTTTAAAATTGCGTATAAATAAATCGGATTACGCCCACAACACGTTTTTACTTCACAAAGTTACCATTTCAATCACGTGTACCATTTCAATCACGTGTACCATTTTAATCACGTGTACCATTTTAATCACGTGTACCATTTTCAAGTTTGTATAACACTTTTTTTCAAACCCTGTGAAAATTATAATTTACCACCCGTTTCGATTAACACAAATCTGGAATAATCACAAATTTGTTACGATACATTCGAAGTTTGAAAAACGATCCTTTTTTTTAAGATTTCAATTTATACTTTTTGAAAAACGATCCTTTTTAAGGTTCGAATTTGTACTTTTACGATTATGAAGTAAAATGCTGTATATAGCAATGAATGAACGAATAGGATAGGTTAAAATTATAATCCAATAATACCGTACTTCATGCTTATTTCATTTATCCAATCAAAAGTTATTATATTTTTCGTATTGAAATTTAAAAAAAATGATATTTCCTTATAGGAATTAAACTGTAAGAAGTCTTGTAATGGGTTTAGCGAATCTTTAAAACTTGAATCATTTATATCGCCCGTTTTTTTTTCCTCTTCTCATTTTTGAAAGGTATTTATTAGGGATATGAAATTTCCCGAGAAACTATAATTAACGGAAATTTTTGGAGGAAAAACAATGGGAAATTTCCTATTTAAAAAAATTTTATACATGGCCAATCAAAAGTTCTCTGCAAGACTCCTCCGTGTTGCATTCTTTAGATCTGACTATGTTGGAATTTGAAGGAACACGATCATTGAAATTCAGACAATCATGTCGCGAACCTCAGAACTATTCTTATAGATTTTTCCGATGAAATTTAAAAACAAAATAACCAGTATTTTGAAAAAAATTATTTTTTTCGCCCAAAATAGGCATAAAAATCACAGAAAATGTTTCAGAGATCAAAAATCTTTGAAGATTATTTTATTTTGAAGCATTTTAAATCCTGAAAAAAAGAACAACACAAAAAAAAACCTCATGATGAAATTTGTCCCCGCTATTAAGACTTCGCGAAATGTTTGTATTTTGTCAAAAAAAATTTAAAAAAATGGCGCGTTTTAAATTCTTTTGACTTTTAAATTTGATATAAAAAAAAACCAACCGGTCATTTAAGTATAGCCTTGCCGCTAAAACCATGTTCCTCATTTTAATTTTTCTTCGTAACGAAATTTATAAAATATAGGAGAAGCTTTAGCCCCTTCGACTGAATTCAGGACGGACCTAAAACCGGGTAGCAATTATACTTTCAAGGTGGCAACCATCAACAGAGAAGAGTTCATTAGCAACCCCAGTGAAGCCACCGAAGTTTGCAGTACTCCGGGCGATACGCCGGAACATAACCCTCTCAACGTAGTGGGCAAAGGTTCGGACCCTAGCAATATGGTCATCACGTGGGACGTAATAATTGATACATATATTATACACACCTTTTCGATCATCCAACCAATTACTTAAAGCATGTTTACTCCCTTAATTTCTTATAATTTTCCGATATTATTTGATATCAAACAGAAAATAAAAATTTTTTTTAAAAAATGTGTCATTTTTTTTGGTTTACTATCAGAAGAGAAGAGAAGAGAAGAGAAGAGAAGAGAAGAGAAGAAGAGAAGAGAAGAGAAGAAGAAGAGAGAAGAGAAGAGAAGAAGAAGAGAAGAGAAGAGAAGAGAAGAGAAGAGAAGAGAAGAAGAGAGAAGAGAAGAGAAGAGAAGAGAAGAGAAGAGAAGAGAAGAGAAGAGCTCTTCTCTTCTCTTCTCTTCTCTTCTAACACTCTAGAATGTTCTGGTATGTTTTTTAGTCTAGAATGTTCAAAGTATTAAAAGTGATTATGTTAGCAATTAGCGTAAGAGTAACGAGGTACTTTGGCAGGAAGGATTAAATTGGCCCTTACCGTTCGTCAGGGAATAGCGCGTTCTAGGTTTTACAACTCCCTCGACTCTCCTGCCATTCACTTTAGCTGCTAGAGGCTCCAGGGCTCAACTGATAGTTTGCTAGAAGTTACTCAGAAATACATAAATCTAAAAAATGAACACCGGCACTTTGACTACCCCCCCCCCCTCAATACATATAGCATGAAAATGACAGCCTCTCACGAGTGGATGATTGGCAGTATAAAAATAGGCCTTGAATTGTGGTAAAAAAAAATCCTTAGGATACTGTTCGTGTACCACCAACCGACGTGCTTTAGGTTCAGGGTGCGGCCTTACGGGGATCAAAATTTCAGGCGAGTCTCAGGGTTCGCAATCCGCTTTCCGCATATGCGGAGATAACTGCCAGTGCACCCTAAACAGAGTTATCGAAGTACCTTCAGCATGTGAACCTTGAGTAATTTCTGAACTTGGGGCGTGAAACCCGAAATTAGACGCGTTATTTAGTGACTAGGCGGTAAGGCCCGATTAATTTCTTTTCAGCCCAGAGATTAACCTCGTTATTCTTGTGTAGCAGAGTTTTTGTAATATTATTATTTTTATGCTTTAATTATTTTAATAAATTTAGTTGAAAAAAAAATATATATAGATATATCAGAGACCTGCAAAAGGTACCATTTGCACGGTCCAGCCCGGGTTTTATATTTTAAACCCGAACCGGCCTAGATATTTGTTTAATAAAATTAGAATAGGGCCCGGCCCATGTACCCGGGCCTGCAGTTCTCTATATATACTTCTCTTCTCTTCTCTTCTCTTCTCTTCTCTTCTCTTCTCTTCTCTTCTCTTCTCTTCTCTTCTCTTCTCTTCTCTTCTCTTCTCTTCTCTTCTCTTCTATATATAATCAAACACTTAAAAATTTAAGAGATTTAATATTAAAATTAAATTAAAGTTGAATGAAAACAAATAAAAACCCATATTCTATTAAAAACATTTTCGAAGAAAGTAAAACTCCCCCCCGACTTAATGTCCATTTTTTTATTATAAAACTGAGTCAAAGGCGGTCACGATAATTTTGTTACTTTCGCATTTTATAGTGAGCGCGATTTTTTCGAGCGATTGCGGAATTCATTTTCGCGTAATTTACAAAAGCAAGTCTATAATATTAGGGCTTTAATTTTATAAATACGGAGCGAAACGATGATATTCGCGGCTCTTGTTAACGTATATTTCAAAAGGGGGTTATAACTGCGAAGAATCAGCTGTGATTTCGCTAGCGTTCAATTTGGCATCACTCGAGCCAAATCGCGCTCTAATATAAACGCTAGCGTTTTACAACCGATCATTATTAATAATAATAATAATAATAATAATAATAATAATAATAATAATAATAATAATTAAACGAAAAATAATATTATTAGGCCGTTAATAGGGAAGCATGGAACGGGCCCGGCTTTCATTACAAAGTGGAATACAAACCGAAGGATCAATCAGAATGGCAGAGCCATGTTATAGAAAATCCGGAAGAGACATCTTACACAGTTAAAGGTAATTTTTTTCTTTTCTTAAATTCTTTTCGAATTATCTAGAAATTTCTAGAATCTTTGCATATTTTACACGTGTCGTAATTTGAGCATGCGCAGTGTACCTTACCCTATATATATTTCGGACAATTTATCGCTCGTAATTTATCACGAAAAATCTATAAAAAAAACTGAATATAAATTTTCGCCCGAAATTTTGCGGTTGTTAGGTATACTCTTCCAATGTTGCAAGTTACATTTTATTTTTCGCTTAGAAAATGTAAATTACCATAAACAGTTACTTTTATTTAAGTACACTGCGAGATTTGTCTTGAAATTATTTTGTATTGAGGTGATCTTTGTATCGATTAAGACTAATTTTTCAATTTAAAAAATTTTCGAATACTTATGAGTGAGAGAGGAAAATAAAATATTCATATAATAACATTTAAACATTTTTGTATCTGGATACTTTTATTTTGGACACACACACAAACGTCACGGGTGTTGTTAGGAATATTATATTATTTAAGGTGCCAGAAACAAAAAACGTATTCGTTCTATATATGTCTTAAAAAATTTTTTAATAATAATAAGTTATATATTTTTTATATTTTATATTTAAAAATGAAATAATCATTTTGAAAACATTTTTTAAATTTTTTTTTTTTTTAAATTAAGAATTTCTATTTTAACATGACAAAATTTCCTTAAAAATTTAAGGCAGCTCATTAACTTATTTCTATATTTGTAGAAAATCTTTTATTAAAAACATTATAATGTTTTCCCCCTTATAAAAAAAAATAAGGTTTATAAAATGATAGATGATACCAAGTCAAGGTATAGCAATTTTCTATATGCCAACCTAATCCTTGCTAAATACTAACCATAATTTATTAAAAATGTGATAAACATAATATCATAATGGAATCACGTGGTCGAGTCCGGCCTCCTACCCATGGGGTTGGTAAGCGACATTCTTGCCGACTAGGTCAAAGACGCTCTCCAAAAAATCGCCATTTTTTCAAATATATATATTATAAATAAATTTGGTATTATCTTATCCAAATGAAAAATAAACAATCCTTAATACAGTATCTAATCACTAATCTAAAAATAACCATCAAAATCATTATATCATTAATTAGTAAACTAACATAATTATCGGATTTACACGTTTCATCTATCCTCTCTAAAAAAAATAAGAAATGGAAAACAAAAAAAAAACAAACAGAAAACATAAGTTTTCAAAATTTTTTTCCACCTCGAGAAAATTTTGTCTAAGCCAAAAACATATTGTTCTATCTGCATTTTTTTTTTTTTTAAATTGTTTATTTATATTCACTTTTTTTTTTCTTTTATGATTAATTTACAGATATTCCCGCTTTCACGGCTTACGATATAAAAGTCACCGCTCTTAATAGTCACGGCGTCGCCAAGGGACCCGCTAACGTTGTCACCGGATTCTCTGGCGAAGATAGTAATAAGGATTTTACCCTATTTTTTCCCCTAACCCTGCATTCCAAAGTTAGCGGGAATTCGCGCTAACCGTGGGTGCACTGTAATAATTTTTAATCTTTCGCCATGATGAAATGCGAATTTGATTCCTTTCTAGCTATAATTTAAAAAAAAATATATATCATTTATAAAAAAAAAATTGCACGATAGTTCCTACAGCTAAACCGGAAAATGTGCAGTTGGTAGAAATCATCAACGGAAGTAGAGCTCGGATATCGTGGACTCCAGTAGCTGATAACGATGTTAAAGGACAAAATGCTGGCTATAAGGTTTTTTTTATTAAACTGTCTCTCTTTAAGAGACCTTATCTCTATCTAAAATTCTTGCCAAGAAGATGATTGAACTTTAGAACGAAATGTTCCATAATAATTTTTACGACAGATAAGAAGTTACACTACGCTATTCGATGGAACCGACAACATAACGGAAGTCAAGGTGCCTCCTCGCACCGACAACGCGATCATAGACATCTTGCGGCCTAACACCGAAAATATAGTCAAGGTGGCAGTGTTCAATAACAAGTTCGACGGACCAGAAAGCGAAGAGATTGTCATTAACACACCGGAAGCTGGTATTTTTTTAAAAATAAGATTCAAATTTAGATTTTTATAAAAAAAAGGGGAATTATGTTTAATAAGTCAATCCCTAATATTTATTATTTTTCACTTTTTATTTACGATTTAGTGCCTGGGAAACCTAACAAATTCAAAGGGTTAGCGTTAGGTCCAGATGCCATTCGATTGACATGGGCTAAACCCAAGAGTCCCAACGGAAAGATCATTGGATACAGGGTCATGTATGCCCCGGGTAAATGCATAGCGGAAATTATAAATTATTATTATTTTGTAATATTGTAGTTAACCGACAACCACATATATTTGGTTATCTAAGATCATTCGTTCATTTATCGCATATTTATATAATTTAAACGATATATTTTTTTTAGAGGATGAAGTCGGAAACGCCTTAGCACCGGAAGTAGAAGCTGGTCCTATCAGGGATCTCACGCAACAAGAAGTTTTTCTGATAGGTTTGTTTTTTAAAAAAAATATATTAAATTATTAAGCGCGTGCGCGTTATAAATAAAAAAAAATCTACAGATAAATGAGAGTCACGTGTTTTTATATAAAGTTATCACGCAACATTTTCCGTATTTTAATCTGACAGGGCCTCGTCAAAGAAGAATTATCAATCTTTCCTGAAAACATTTTGTCCGGCCATTTTTTTTAAATTCATATTCTGTTCATTTAAATGATAATAGGAAAATTTTTAGATTTTTTTTTTAACTGAACACATTTTTCAATTGTAAAACCATTTGGCAAAATTTGCAAATCATTAATAAATATTTTATCTTTAAAGAGTCCATCAGGAACTTTAACTTCAATTTGCATTGAGTGTCGTTAAACGGCTAACTCATCACTTCATCCAGAAGAATATTACCCAAGTCCGAAGATTTTGCTCATAGAAGGAATCTTGAGGCTTAGGCAATAATTTTCTAGCTGAAATTTTGAGTTAGCCCCTTTTCAAACATCGGCTCTAAATGAGCCGTCCAAATTTTTAGTGTTCCATTTTTTAACTGAACCGCATTAGTTATCTCTTTATCTTATTAGGTTTAAACCCCGATACGAAATACAAATCCACCATCAGAGCAGCTACATCGGCGGGGTACGGCGAACCGGCCATCGTTGTTACCAAGACAACTAGACCCGGAGGTATCTTTTTTTAACCCCCCTTTTCAGTTCAATTTTGCCCTTTTTCTAAGCATACGCTATAGTAAGTATAAGTACAAAGTGGTAGATGGGAGTCATAAATTTATTAGGACCAACGACTATCTTCATAATACTCAAAATTAAAAAAATGTGTATAATAAAAATTAAACGGTTATAACTGCCGGCATATCAAGAACTATAAAAAAAATGCTAATTATAAAGTACTAAAAGGGTTATAACCGATGTATGAACCACTGGCGAACTCAGTATTCTATCCAGGAAAAATGTTGCACGAGCACAAAGATTTTGATCCATAGATGGCACAAAGGTATGAACATCTGTTAGAGAAATCTCGAAGCCTGGGCGATATTTTTCTGGTAAAAATATTGAAGATCGATTAACAACGCTAGCCAATGTGGAAGGAAATATCTGCGGATTTGATAAATTCTTGCCTGATGGATGATTAATAAACCTTTCATTTTCAAATATTTATTTATATATATATATCTTTGGGATAAAGGATAGGTTTTCTAAGTCGCTAAAAAAAATTGGGAATCTTGCTTATATTATCTTCCCTAGAAAAATTTTTTAAAAAAATAATACTATTAATAGATGTTAAAGAAGTAAAACAACTCGTATCTAAAATAGAATTTTTTTAAAGACAAAAAAAAAATCGCTAAAAAATAGCCTAGAATTGGTAATAACAACATTTGGGAATATTGGAATGATATTTCAAGTGTTGCTAAACGGCTCGTTTCAATATTTTAGCCAGAAAAATGATGCTTAAGCCCTGAGATTCCGATAATATATGTACAGACCTTGGTTCCTTCTATGAGCAATATCTTCAGGCTTGCTTAATATTTTTCTGGATGATGTATTGAGTGTTAGCCGTTTTTACAACCCTAGATATTCCCCCTCTATTTTTTTTTAGCTATTTTTTAATCTAAATTTATTAATGTTCACCCTTTTTCCAGCCATCTTATCAAGTTTAATTTTCAAAATAATCTACTAAGAAGGCGAGATTCTAAGAAATTTTTTTTTCCATAGCGATTTTATAATGGGGAACGTATTTATTAGAAGATAGAGATTCTAAATAATTTAATAAGAAAGAGTTAAATTTAACATTTTCGCCCCTTAGTTTTTTTTGAGGATGAACTACTAAGAATTCTGAATATCATCACCATTCAAAACGCCCTAAAAAAATATCATTTGTATTTGTTAGCTTCAACGTGTTTACGTCAATATGTTATTCCTATTTTTACGATCTATCATGTTGAAATTGAATTAATTCCACGTTTTTATTATAGTTAGATAATTATATCACATTTCTCATTGATTATCAGTTTATTTTTTAATCATAATTTAATTATTTTATCCCAAATTACACTTTTTTTTTTATCTCTTTATATATAAAATTTTTTTTAAAAACAATAATAAAAAAATTAAACTAATACAAATTGATGTATAAAACAAAATGTTAATATAAAATTTTTACCGATTAAATTTAAAATACAAATTGATATATATATATAAATAAATCAATTTGCCAAAATAAATCATAAAATAACATCGATCAACATATTCAACTCAACATATCATGTTTGGAATTCCTAACTTAATGAGTTGTTAGACAATTTTGCTGCTAACCTTTGTGAGGTAATTCTATAGAAAATATGATTATAAATTTTTATTTAAGTTTAAAAGGTTCTTGGAAAAAAAAAATTGTCTGAAAATTCATAGGGTTAGGTATTCCGAACATGACGTCATACATTTCCGGTAAAATCAGATTTTTTTTTTAAAAAAAACGCGCTCTGATTGGGTGGGAGATTTGTGTCATAATTTACGCTTATTTATTGGTTTTATTTTTATAAATTTTATCATTTGAAACGCAAATATAAAATATATTTAAGCCCCCGATAAACCGCAATTCGACGTGAACATTGTAGATGACGGATTTAACATATCCCAGAAGGAAACTGGCAATCCAGGCGCATTCTTCTATCTAATCTACAGAAAAGAAGGTTCCACTGATCTTTAGCTATAAATTATATCTGATTTTTTTTTGTTTTAGAAACAATGATAATATATTAAATCTTTAATTATCGATTTTAAATGATTTTATTAAGGAGATATTCCACTAAAGATCATTAATTCCAACAACAAACCTAATTTCCTAAAGTCTTTATCTAACTACATCTTATAAACAATTTTATCTTACGAATCCCTTGTTTTAAGCTCAAAATTTACCTTTCCTAGCAATTAACTAAATGAGTCTGAATTATATAAATGTGCATAATAAATTTAATAAATCGCATCTCTCCTAAGTCCCCCCCCCCCTCACACACACACAAGTCTTAACCATAGTTGTAATGATATCAAAGATTTTACATAAATTTATTTCTATATGATGATACCCTATAAAAAATAATATATTAAAAGCAAAGATTTATAATTGTAATAATAAACTCACGTGATACCAACCAAAGATTAATACATGTTCTCTGATATCTTCTCGAAACATATTTAAAAAAACGTCAATATCTGTCCATTTGAAATTGACATATACAACATATGATTATTTTTGTTTTTGAGCTTTTTTCTCCGATAAAGCGAAAAATGGCCATTGTAAAAAAGGTGACCTACATGAAAAATGTTTTTTTTTGCTTATATTATATAAGGCGGTAAATGGTTTTCTACCCCAACGGCCGAACATTGGAAGATGATCAAGAACGTTAGCGAAAATACTAATTACGAAATCCAGATGATTTCTATCAATGGCAATCACTCCTCGGTCAGCGAACCACAGAAGTTCATGGTTCCACTTGACAGTTTTACAAAATACTTCAATTATCATTTTATTTTCTTCATTTTTGGCTAAATTATTTGATCAATCATCCCCTAGGAAAATTAATATTTAGAAAACTTATTTTGCAATTCGGATCATCAGAGAAGGATTAAGTCAATCACTTTTATATTTGACGTAAATTATATCAACAAGATTTTTAATATAGGCCCAAAGATTTTTTTTTCTTTTTTAGAGGAGGTATTATATACGTTAATTGTCAAAAAATAAACCAAATGAAAATTATGGGCAGAAGCTACTATAAGATATTAAATTCGAGCTTTTATATGGTCTAAATTATTATAAATAATAATATAATACAATTTTAATAGGACCACCTAACACGCCATTCAACGTTCACTTGGATAGATGCGATACCAAAGAGACCAAGATAGTTTGGGACGTCAAACCAGTCGAAAAATCGCCTGTCACCAATTTCATTATAGAGCATCAAGAGGAGGGCAACGATGATTGGAAGGAATTAGAAGGTAAAGGTAAAATAGCGATCACGTGGCGCTATCTACTTTAGGTTTTACTCCCTACGTTAGCGTTGTTTGAATTCACCTAACTTTGACCACATCTATTGTGGGCTTTAGTCAAGCCTTTATAGCCTAAAAAAAATTTGAATTAAGCTTCTAAGCTGAGAGTCTGTCAACTTGAAGATTGATTTGAAATATTTTTGGAATAAATGGATAGCTACGCCGTTTTATAGTTGAATAACGTTAGGTAGTTAAACAACACTACTACCCCTAAAAGGCTGATTTTTAAATTTTCGCGAGAAATAAATGTAAATAAGGGTATAAATTGTTCGAAATAGAACAGTTTTGTATCTTAATTCCAGAAATTTGAAATTACAAGATTTTTGAACAAAAATAAGATCCTTAAAAAATTACAAAAATTCAATTATTTTAATTTTAAGATTTAAAAATCGTTGGAAATTTTTTTTATTTATTCTTGAAGAAGCATTTCAAATCCCGGCTTAAATGGGAATTCCCATGATAATGTTGACGGAGATTGAAAGAGGATAAGTCATATTTTAGAGCAATGATCCTCTCCGCCCAAGATTTTAACATAAACTGGTCCTGTATTAATCTGACATAAGATATTTCTATTAGTGATCTGCATCGGGCCTAATTTTTCGAACCCGGCCCGGCCAGAAATTTTATTTTAAAAAGTTTTACCGGCCCGGCCCGAATTAATTTCGGTTCGGACCGGGCCGGGTACGGGCCTGGCCTACTTTTGCAGATCTCTATTCCGGTAAAATCAGTTTGTTTTTTTTTTTGATTTTTTTTAAAAACGCGCTTTAAAAAAAAATGATTTTATAGTTGTTAAAATAAACGTATTGTCGATAAAAAAAAACACATTTGACTCTAACACATATTATATTTGTATATACTTCTATATTAATAATAGAATTAATATTATATCAAAAAAAAATAATAATAATTCCAACTCTAGGTAAACATCCAGCCAGTGCCGAAGAGTTCGTTATAACCGATCTCCCGGAAGGTAGGCACAGGTTCAGAGTGATTTCGGCCAATAGAAAAGGTCGGAGTAATCCTAGCGACCCCACGCCCATTTGCGAGATTACTAAACAAGCCCAAACGGGCCCCGGTGAAGGCGGGCACGTAAAGGACGTCTCCAAAACTGGTATCAAGTCTGGCACCAATTCTGTTAATGTTCACTGCACAGCTGTTTTGTTGGCATGTTCGATTGCCTCACTGTCGGCAATACGAAATTATGTTTTATAGAAAGCCCGCTCTCAACGCCTTTTATTTTCACTCCCTATTTTCCATTCTGTCCACCCCCCCTCCGCTCCCCCTTATAAAAAATAACGGTCGCAAATGCAATGACATTCATTTTAAAAATAAAATATATAGTTTTAGCTGTGGCAGTGATTTTAGCGGTTTCAACGGTCTTTTTTTTTGTTCTTATTTTAATATATAATTAGTTTTTTTTAAGTCAATAAAGAGAAAGAATACCACGCACTATGCAAGTTGGATATCATTAATATGACTTACAAAAATTATATATATTTCATTATTTATTTTTTATATAAGGCAATGGGACAATCTAAACATTAAAATTGAACTAAGATTACATTTTGGCTATTTCTACTTGTATTAATTTAATTTTATTACTCTAAATTAGTTTTAAAAAATAACAAGAGTTTATAGTATAGTTTGGAAATAATATTTTTTGCTTAAAACGTAATAATTTTGTGGACATTTTTATATTTATATATATTTATAAATCTCTTGAGATATAGTCAAATCTTAACGTTAACGGGGGCTAGCAAATTATTATATTTTTTATTTATCTTCGTGAATTGTAATAAGTTTTCAAAAAATAAAATGTATAGTCATTTTCCCCACCTAAAATAACTTTCATATTCTTTTAACTATTTTATATATAAAGAAATTTATAACACATATTATTCAGGATAAATAACCAATTATCCATTATTTTTATGTGTATCTGTATAATTTTTTTTTGTTTTTTGTGAATTCATTTTATATTTTTTTTTTTTAATTGTAACAAATTTGGTTTTATAATAATAAATTTTTAAATCTTATTATTTTAAGCCCATCATTTTTACATATAGAAAGTTTTCATTTATTTTTTATTATTATTTTTTATGTATAATTTTTACTATAATGTTTGGATTTGATAGAGATATCATTTAATAGTAGTTTTTTTTTAAAGAATCAATCTATCATTATGCAAAATCAAATTATAATTTATAATAACTGTGTAAAAAAATATATATTAAATTTATAATCTTTTAAAACACAAAAATGACATTTATTATAATGTTATAACTTTATAAATTAAAAATTGCTATAACAATTTAAATTTATATTTTATATACCTGTATTAATTATTATTAATATATATATATTTTTAAAAAAATAAATTTCTTTTAAAAACTTTACTCAAAGCATCAATTAAAAATTAACTAGATATCATTTCTGAAAATAAAGCCATTGACAAATTATACATGATTTATCATCTTACATTGAATTTTAAAATGTAACAACATTAAATAATATATTAGAGTTTATTAATCTTGTGAAATGATTTATTTCATTTCATTTTTAGGTAAATGTGTAACTATGAGCCATTTTTATATTTATAATATATATTGAACTTAACTTATTTTCTCCATGTACCCATTAAATAGTAAGAGTATATTTTAACCTTAGAATGGTTATATTGGGACTTAGCAACACACCAAATATTGATATGATTTTTAGGTTAAGTGTGAGTAGCATATCCAGGATTTTGCTAAGGTTGGGATGGGGGGAGGGAGGAACTATTAGGTGATCTTTGGGTCCACTTGTTGTAGACCATTGGATAGATTAGATTTTTATAATAAATATAAATTAGGGTTTTCGCTTAGTCGTTATTTTAAAAATTTATTAAAACTTTTACTAATCTTTCTTTTCGGATTTTTTCCTTACAATTGATATTATTGTATGCATTATTTAGAAAAAGGTAGTGGGGGGTGGGGGGGGGGGTCAATTTTTATTAGCTTAAAATGATATTTACGGAATCTGGCAAATTCGCGAACCCCCCCCCCCTTCCTTTTACTCTCCTGATATTAACTCTATCTTAATATCTTTTATGAACTTTTATACATAGACTTGTTAATTAGGTTGATTCCAGTAAATATAGTTCCCTCCAGGGGTTTCTAACATGTAAACAATTATAATAACAACTATCGTAATGGCTCAGTGTTGCTAATTATTACCGATTTTTAAAATGGTTTCTATGAATATGAAAAAAAAAAAAATTAATTTTTTTTTTTTATTGAATGAAGTCTTTTTTTTAAAAAAAAGATATCCTCTTTAAAGGTATAAAATAATTTTAATTATTTTTAAAAACAAGTTTATACACAATATTTAAATATTAATTAAATAATAGGATTTATTGCCTGTTTATTATGGTTTTTTTTAGAAAAAAATTAAAAATTTATGAAAGATAGCAAAATTAAAGGAAATTTTGACCTTTTAAAATCGATACTTATTCGTTACAAATATTCTCGTTGAAATATTTTCATTTAATATCAAACTTCAATTTTTACTTAAACTTAACCATGTCTCAGAATTTCGAAGTGGATGGCAGCCTTAAAAACTGTGATGAAATATGTTCCAACCAACTCGCGTTATTTATTTTTTTTTCCCCAACCTTTTCCTTTGTAAAATGCTGTAAAGAAAGACATTAAAAAAGTATATTAATGCGATGGGAGTGTTGTCATCTATCATTCGTTGATAAACCATATGATTCAAGGGTATCACCTACCGAAGCTAGAATTTTAGAAAATTAATAAACAGTGTATTTTACCTTAGGATAATTGGCAGGGGCGTTACTAGCCTTTACAATCTCAGGGGGCTCAAAAAAAAATTTAAGAAATTTTGAAGGAGCTCTTCAAATTTTTTAGGAGGTTCGAGGGTACCTGCGCGCTCCCCCTTCCCCTATTGGCGCTACTGATAATGGGGTATTTATATAATACCTACAGCTACAGATACAAAGATATACATATTTGCTATCGCATCCTCTACAACGTTATTCTTAATGGTCAAATACTATACTTTTGATTAGTCCTAATCACAAGGCTAATAATATATACATCTCAATTTGGGAGCAAAATTTTGCTATCATCTATTACAACCCAATATTTCACATATATATATATATATATATTAAAACCAAATATACCATATGATCCTGTTTAAATCTTTATTTTCTTTATATACCCGTATATCACATGTTTAAAAGTTTTAAAACAAACGAAAAATTAAAATCAATAATAATCTTCTAGAAAATATATTGACAAAACGTCTATATATGTCAATTACAAATCCACAGATACAATCATATCCTTTATGACAAAAAAATTTAAAGCCCCCTTATCAGAAGTTCGAGATCTGATGATAACAGACTAATCAACGATCGGGGAAGGGGGGGGGGGGTCTAATCAGATGGGCACAAAAATGTGGATATTTGGTTAGGAATAGGGCGTTTAAGTTAATGTCTTTAAACCATATTTTTTTTTCCCCACTACTCTGATTAATTGTCAAAAAAGAATTTCGTAATATCCTTTAATATCATTGATGTTCTAAAACTAGTGATTCGTTCATTTAATTATGTATTATTATAAATCATGTGATAACACATATTATCCTGTTTTCCCGGTTCCTTCAGGACTGCTATTCCAGACCAATACACCTGGTAATTGAAGATAAGATAATTCCATCATTACTAGATATCCAAGGGTCCTCTTATGTCTTGGAATAGGATACACCAATACCCAATGCAAGCTTAATTTACACGCTTGGTATATTGATGATGGAATAATAGCTGGCTTACCCTACCAAGTCAACATGGCATCAGATATAATAAAATCCTATGAAAATATAGGTCTAACAATAAATCCTTTAAAGAGTGAATACTGTTCCATAAACAACCATGTTCAAAATAATTTCAACTGAGAAAGTGTGCCACACATATCTAGGATCACTCTTAGACAATGATGACTCCATCACTAAAATTTTTGCAGGTATTTCAAAAGATCATCAGATCTTACTGCACTTCCCATCACTAAAATTTTTGCGGGTATTTCAAAGGATCATGAGATCTTACTGCATCTCCCGGCACACCACTTCTTTCTACTAAAGAATCGTAATTCCGAAGATTTTATTTTGTACCCTATGATCAATAAGTATTTTTCAATGTCCTGCTATTCTTACTGCCTACGAACAGATCAAAATATTGATCGAACAAATAGTCAATCTTAAATTTGAAGAATTATTTTTAGCTACAGGTCACCCTAACAACCAAAGAAGGTGGAATAGGAATACGATCACATTCCATTCCATACTCCCCGTCAGTAATTTTATATCTTCGCGTTTTTTATGTGACCCAATCATCAGCAAATTAACGACTTACCCAGATCCTCTACTTTATCAGGTCATCGATCTTCGGGGATCCCCTTCCCTAGTGGATCCTCTTTCAACGTCATTACAGAGATATTGAGATTTACCCGTGGTTAACCTCGTCGCATTTCTTAAATTGAGATGTCAACCTGCGGAATATTCCATTCTCTTTTTCCACTTGATCGGGAAACGATTATGAATTTCTTAAAACTATCCCTTGAAGTAATCTTGATTTGCTACTTACAAAGAATGAGCTAAAGCATGCTATCGCGCTCAGTCTCATGTACCATACTCACGCTCACTTTGTCATACCCCGGTTGACTCAAAAAGTGGCCACTCCCTACATTGAAAACGATGTAGAGGTAGATTTCGAAGACATACGTAATGTAATGACACTATATCTCGTGCCTTGAAATCTGCGATAAAATTTCTTAAACCCCTGAGCCGTCTGGACTTTGTAACACATATGGTAAACGTCGATAGTTTATCCAATTGCTTGGAGAGTGGTAAGTTCTTAACCTGGGATGTTTCATGTGTAGAAACACTAATACCCTCTAACTTAAAACATGATGCTATTATCGACGCAGAAGGTAAATCTGCCAAATATTTTACTGTTTTACCTTCCAATCATTTATTCATACCATTTTAGCACCCACATCCTAGCCTTCTTTAAGGATCCAGAGAATCGCATTACATCGAAACACCGGAAGTGCAAATGAAGGCTTTTACCTCACACAAAAGATATATATATATTAATTAATAAAATTCGATCTAACTCCATCAGTTTCATATTCTCTGCTGATGGATAAAAACTCATTTAATATCAAATATTTAAAATACATTCTTTATATTGATTGACGTTAAAAAAAAAGTTAAGGAATGAATGAATGTGTATTAATTTTGTTCGAAGGTCTTTCGTTTTTTTTAAATTTACTAATGCCTCATATATTTTCAATATATTGCAGAGTCAATTTTGGGCATATATATACATTTTTTTAGAAGGAAATTAATTAGAAAAAAAAATGGTGGTTGACAAATGTTTAAGGTTCAGAAGAGTAATGTATAAAAAAGAATTTATACAGAAAAAATAAAGAAAAAAAACTTGATATTTTATTTCCAACGCCAAGAAAAGTCCCCATTTTCTATTGGAGCAAAATATTGACCAATAATATTTTTAAAAAACGCAGAAAATACGTAATTATATCTAATAATTAATTAATTGTTAGGTTTAATTAAATAACCCAATAATGGCACCTAATACGCTTATCGTTTTTTTCTCTTTATAAATATATTGTTAAGTAGCTTTTAACGATTCGCTCTAACAGAGGCAGCGTTTGCGGCGGGAACCGGCATCAAATTTCTTAGAGATAGAACCAGAAATGGGGGGGGGGGGTAAATAAGAGCTAATTAAATTTGAACAATCACTGAGCACTTAAGTTTTAATTAAAAAAGTAGCTTTTAAGGCCAAACCTTAAATAGTCTGGGCTAATGATGTCACTGATTGAATCATTGGAAATGTCGACAAAAATCCTATTGGCATCTTTCGAAAGAAACTCCCTAAAATTGTTTAACCAATTGGAAGCTGGACGCCTTTGTTACGTCACTGATTTATGAAATGATTTTCCATTTATTAAAGAATTAAAAATAAAATGAATATATTATTAATTTTTAAGATATATATTTTAAATTATTATTATTATAAAAATAAAAAAGAATCAAATATTTTTTTAAATAAAAATTCATTTATAATATTTTTAAAATAAATTTCATTAATAAATTATTATGAAAAAAATTAATTATCATTTTTTTGTGATACAGAGTTATTATAACATTATTATATATATCTTTTAATAATTATGAAGCATAAATTTTTGTTTTAAACAAAAAAAATTAATTAGTAATTTAAATTTTTGAACAATTATAATTATTTTTTTTTAAAAAATATATATATAATATCATTGCTTAAAAAATTTTTCTAGGAAATTCTTTTCTTCGTCACTTAAGTACTCGTTCATAAAATTTCCTTCTCTATCCAAAAATATCGTATTTCTATTAAGTAATTTCTTCGATCGGGTAGATCCTTGTGCAGGCAACGGGTAAATTTGTTTTATAGATGCCGGTCTTCCATCTAAGCGCCTATTTACAGCTGTTTTAGATAGTAATGATAAAAATAATTATAAATAAGACTCGAGAAAGAAGCAACTGCGCATGCTAAATAATCAAGGAAAATCAGATGATTGGCGAATAAAAATAAAAAAAAAAAATCCTTAAAATCAATATTTTCATTTATATGACGTCATATTTACTTTTTTTTGTTTTTTTCCTAGCGTAACTAGTGACGTCATCTCTTCTTAGATCCCACTTTGGTTTCTGCTCAATCGTTATCATATCACTGATGTGGTTTATCAAATAATCTGGCGCACGATAAATGTTGGAATGATAAGGAACTGGCATTGGTTGCTGATATCCTATATCATTAGGCATATCATCGTAATCGTCATCATAGTATATAATTGATTCAGGGTGAGCGGAAGGCTTAAAGATGGGTGGATCATGGAAAGATGAAAAGAGGGAGTAGGGGATTCTCCTATTCCCACCAGTAGTTGGTCGTGGCTGGAATTGTGGATTTATAGCTGACTTTGGCTTGAATATCGGCAGGGGGTAGTCATTTGGCTTTGAAGATTAGTCAATAAAAAATGTATATAACCGTTTACATTCATTTATTTTTATTTTATTGAGTAAATTCATAAGAAAAGTTACGAGAATTGCTCTGTCGATGTAAGATGGAGATTTTATATAGCCCCCCATAGAATCTGGATATTTATTCCGGAAGGATGTCCTATCTGCTATATTGAATAATGTTCAATTTTTTTTTTAAAAAATATAATAAATTAATAAATTCGAAATATGATAAATTAATAATGAGCTTCCTTTTAAAAGAGCGAAAATGCTTTAGGGGTAAGCAGAATAGGCTAAGTTTTAAAACTCCACTTTAAAAAAAGATGACCACCTTAAAGGGGGAAATTAGGCATAGCTGTATTATTTATAACTATTTACAAGTATACCTGGGACGAATTCAGTTACTCGTTACATTTTTGGTTCGTAAAAAACATAGGGGCCAAATGTATCGAATCTCTATTCATTCACGATATTGTAAATATTAACTAATATTATTTTTAGTACCGACATTGACGTTGTTGTCGAAAAAGTCCCTATCAAAGTCCGCTGGCGAATTGTCGTAATATGTATAAACTATATCGGGCGTTTTTTTCGAATTCTTTGGGAACGTCTCGAAAGGTAATTTAATATCGAACTTATTTGTCGGTGGTCGCATCCGAGCTAGGTTGTACTTCCTGGGTACATCGACCGCGTCATCCATTTTGTCGTAGCTGAAGAAGGAATCCATTCTAACAGCTGGTTTCTTTGTGGTGGGATAATCCTCGTAATAGTAAAGACTATCTTTGTCCGAACCTTCATTCTTGTAAGGAATAGTAGGCACCCTCGTACCCTTATTGGTGGGCCTTCTATTATAATTTTTTTCCATGAAATCGCGGAAGACTCTCTCGCCAAATAGTTTTACAAAAGCTGTCAGGTAATCTACCGTCATTCCATTTTCGGGACCATCTTTCCTATATTTTCTTTTGTCATCGAGAGAATCGTTATCATCGATGACTTCTTCGTCACCCATGACGTTTTTCCGGATCTCTTTACCGATCCTTTTCGCGTTCATCGCCAAGCCGTCGCTTATCACTGGTGCAGTGTCGGTTAATACATTCTTGTGGATCATCGAATCGCTCTCATCAACCATTTTGATAATATTTTTCACTCCGATAGGATCAATAGACTTTGGATCAGTATAATTGTCCGGGTCCGACGAGGAAAGATTTAGATCCTCAGCTTTGTCCGGAATGAATGGTGTGTTCTTATCTATAATGTATAAACCAATCAGAAAATTTGTAAAAAAAATAAGTAACTAAATAATATGTTAGCGGGCAATGTGTTATTGTTTTCATCTGATTTTACTGAAAATGTATTCCCACATCTACGGAGTTCCTAACTTATGGATTTCAGACAATTTTATCATGAAAAATTTTGAATTTAATAATAATTTATATTAGTTTTTTTTCCATAGATCTTCTTATATAAATTATTAAAAAATTTCGAAGGATAACGGCAAAATTGTCTACAATTCATAAGATAGGTATATTCTAAAACATTGTCGGAATACATTTTATTGGTAAAATCAGAATTATTTAAATTTTTTTTATAAAAAAAACGAACTAAAATTTAAAATTGGTGAAATAACATCATCGCCGCTAACATAGGGTATAATAAGCCTGATAAAAGTATTAAAGTTTCTTTTTAAAACACAATATGTGATAAATTATATGAACTGTGGCAACCCATACCTCCATATTACTTTAATAATTTCTAACTCTCGGTGCATTAATTTACATTTATTAACTAAACAGGCTAGTTTTCAAGCCGATTTTCAAAAACTGCGAACTCAATACTTCATCCAAAAAAAAATACTACCCAAGCCTGAAGATTTTGCTCACAGAAGGAACAAAGGTCCAGACATATAGTGTCGAAATCTTGAGGATTAGGCAATATTTATCTGGCTAAAATATTGAGTCAGCTGTTATTAATGTAATGGCCAGTATAATATTCCTTTTCTCTTTTCTAATTTTTAAAATTAAATTTCATTTTTTTTTGTTAACAATCTGTATATATTTCCAATGCATAGACGATGCACTCATAATAATGCATTTAAAAGAGTAGTTGAAAATGCAAATCAGCTGGAACCGCCATTTTGGTAACCTTTATAGTAATTATTCTCGTGTTAAAAAACTGCTATAATACATATATATTATCCTGATTTTATGATCCGGATTGATATTTATTCGAAAATATGCTATTTGCGAACGGGTAACCAAAATGGCGTCACCAGCTGTTTATCATTGATGTATACACTTTTTATGAATGTATCGTCAGTCTAGGTATTATTATATTTCATCACCCACCCCCCCCACCCCCCCAAGCCACTTGAGATATTCTTAATCATTTTTTGAATATTATTTAATTCCATTTTTACAAAATATTTTCCTCGCCTTTTACATTTCTTCTGAAAAAATAAAAATTTCTACCATTTTTTTTCTAGCATAATTAGGAGAATGTTATATACCATCTGATTGCTTGTCCGACCGAATAAACATGACGTTTAATTTGGATTGGTTCATTTTTGTTTCGTCCCTTTTCTCGGTTTCGTCGGTGGGCGCCGTTTTTTTGATCATATGGGAGGCCCTATCTTCGGCGAACGATTTCAGCATTTGAATCAGCAAAGCTTTTACGATTTATAATTTCGAATTAAAAAAAAAATTTAAATTTTTTCACGTGGAGTTTTAATAGATCTAAGCTTTGTATATTTACGATTTGGTATATAATACCCCATTACCGACAACGCGCGTGAATAAAGCGATACGCGTATTGCCGTCCATAGGCTATAATACTCGTAATGTATTACAAAAAAAAAAATACAAAAAGAGTCAAATAAATGATTTTTAAAGTAGTTACGAAAATAAGATAATTTAAATACTTGACAAGATGGCAGGAATATATTAAGAAGATATTATTGCCCGATTAAGAGCACATCCGGTAATATTCATATCCCATAAAGATATGAAATATTAGGTAAGCTACGAATAATCGAAAGTGGTTCTTTCTTTCTTCTCTTTCTTTCTTTCTTTCTTTCTTTCTTTCTTTCTTTCTTTCTTTCTTTCTTTCTTTCTTTCCTTCTTTCCTTTATTTCCTTTCTTTCTTTTCTTTCTTTTTTTAACTTTAAATTTGAAAAAAAAAAAGAAAGATCAAAATATATTTTTACGATTTCGCGAGGGAACGGCATCATCTTCATTCGCCATTCCATCGAATCTGCTGCTGTCTCCCAAAAATGTGTCGATCTTGTTCTCCCTCAGTCCAATTCCTTCATCTTCTACGGAACACGCCGCCGAACCCAAAAGAGTAATAGTCAAACAAACCTTTATCATAAACATATCCATCACAAATTTTATCTTTAAATTTTCTTTTCTCTTTATACCAAAAAAAAAATTATTTCTTTTTTAAATATTAAAAAAAATGCAGAAAAAAAATATATTATATTTCAACTTAAATTTTTTTTAATATTCTTTATAAAATATTTCTCTATCGTAAATAATAAGTACCCTAAAGGTACATACAAATCTGTTCATTTTTTTTGTAATTATAAAAAATATAAAGGGAGAAATAAAAAAATATAAATTTTTTTTTTAAAATAGGTTTTTTTTACGTTTATTTTGCATCTGTAATAAATAATCTTTGAACAAGATACATGTCTATCTTATGTACTACTATAATATACTTAATTTATTCCAAAAAAAAACATTGTAATTGAAAGGGGTTTTTTTTGACGCGACATTAAACATAGGGGTCAAAGACAAACATGTTTATTTCAACTTGAACCATCTAGAAAGCAAAGTTCTTTAATATTCTTTAATATAACTTTATCTAACTTATGGCCAGGGGTCGTAGGGTAGAAATTTCCAGATCGGGGGTGCAACTGTTTACGGGGGGGGGGGGGGGGGTTGCGCCCCAGACAAACATGAAAGGTGCGCGCTTTCAGGTGTCGCCGTCAACTTAAACCATCTAGATGCAACTCCATTATATTCTTGAACTTGTCTGGGGTCGTAGGATAGAAATTTTCAGCAGAAAAAGAGGGGGGGTGCAATATATATTTTTTTGATATAAGGCAAATAGTTAGAACATTCATAGAAATTTGTATACGACGATTTTAATTTTTTTAAATTTGTTAACTTTAAATAAAATCAAAAGCTAAATTCTGTATTACCCCCCCCCCCCCCCATAAGCAGCACTAAATTTTGATTCACGTCCATCTCTCACAGATTTTCTAAGTACTCGATGGAACTCTCTTCAGTGTAAAAGAATGAGGTCCTCACAAAAAAAAACCGTTGATTACATGACGATGGCTGATGAGTTGCATTTATTTATGTTTCCTTACACTGTCTTGCAGCTAAAAGTTCCTTTTTATGTTATTTTCAATATTTAATTTAAGATAAATGTTTCTAATGGGACCATTTTATCTGATATACAAATAGTTAGGGTCATGTGAGGACCAATGTATTAAAAACATGATAGAACTGTAGAAAGAAAGGAAGAAAGGAGAAGAAAGGAAGAAAGGAGAAGAAAGGGAAGAAAGGAGAAGAAAGGAAGATTTTTATAATAATTCTTATTTTAAGGAACTCCAATTGAAGTCCTTTTCACAAATTAAATTGCGATTTACTAATGACTAAAAAAATCTTGAAGGATTTGTAGGCGTTTTACGTACGACCCTTGATGATTTTTAAGGGAAGTGATTTAATTTTGATATAAGTTTTTCAGCCTATAAAATTAAGCATTTCTTTTATTTTTTAATACGTTAATCTTGGAATTAATACAATTTTTTAGCATCCACTATATTAGTTTACCTACTGACTGTAGATATACTTATTTAGTGGATCTATTGTTATTAATACCTCGTAAATTAAAATAACCAGTAAAAATGTTATTTATATTTAACATATTGAAATAAAAAAATAGACCAGAAGTTTTGAACTGAATCATGAGTGGAAACCTCTGGATTAAGTGTTCTTAGAAAAGTAAAACAATGCTTCATCAATGGATTAAGTGTTCTATTAGAAAAGTAAAACAATGCTTCATCAATAGCTTCCAAATTCTTATAAATGATACGAGACATTTCTATATGACCAGTCCACCTCTGGTCCTAAAAGTAATCTTAAGAGGGGATACGTTAAAGCGCCTAAAAAAAATGTAACGATGCATAATTAAATTTTAAATTAGAAATGATAACAATATTATTATACCAATTTTTGAACCACAAAAAATGCGACTTGTGAGTCTAGCAATATAAGGTTTTTATTATAAATTTTTTTTGAAATACTCATCTATTTCGGCCAGACATTACCTTTGCACCATCATAGTCTGGCTTTCGATGAATTAATATTTAATTTCATTTGAGTCGCTTTAAAAATACATTTATATTAACGCTTTCAGGCAGAAAGACATTGTAAAATTAATGATAATGAATGACTATTAAATTTCCTCTACATAAAAAAATATATATATGCTCAGGTTTTCACAACTTATTTTGTTGTATTTGTCTCATATAGATTTTAAATCGTTTTTTTGTGAAAATTGAAATTTAAGTAAAACAAAATACTTTTTGTCAGGTTTGGGGGGACCAATTAATTTTTGGGGGGTGGGGCTACCCCTTTTCTCCGGCCTCTCTCGTGGCTACGACCCTGCTTATACATTTCGCCTCCTTCCCATAAACAGATGTCTAAACATGTTCTGGGGGGGGGGGGGTTAATGGAGTTTATAGTATTTAGATCATCTATAAAAGACACGATTTTGCCCGAAATAGCAAGCAAGAAAGAAAGAAAGAAAGAAAGAAAGAAAGAAAGAAAGAAAGAAAGAAAGAAAGAAAGAAAGAAAGAAAGAAAGAAAGAAAGAAAGGCATGTACTTATACAGTATAACTTGCCAAACGAATTACCCATTTTTTTTTTGGGGGGGGGGGGGGGTTTGGGAGTTTAAATTAATAATTAATTAGGCGCGTAAATTTGTTTTTAAAAAAATGGAATTTCAAATTTCGCGGCCAAAAATTATTCAAAATTTTTATAGGTTAAAGTTTTATACACTATAATAATACACCTGCCTGGAATTTCTATTCCCGCAAAAAAAAACGAAGTCATTTAAAAAATTTGTTTTTTATTTGTTTTTTTTAATCATTTGAAATGTTTTCTATATAATATGAATTAAATTTTTAAAAAGATATCTTCCTATAAGTTGCGATTAATGTTGGGATCACAACGAATTCCTCCATACAAATATGTTTTATTTTTATTTTTAATTTAATAAGAAAAAATTTATAATAATTCTTTTCACAAAGCAAAAAATAGTCGTTTTTTAAAAACGAAAAAGTACAAAAAAAAACATTTTTCTTCGAAATAATATAAACAATGGATGTCTTTTTTTTTTCAATTGTTTTTTATTCTCTTAATTTATGTAAGTCTTTGCAGCTTTTAAGGGGCTTTAGGGCCTAATTTTCGCCCTCAAATATCCTCCATCTTTTTTTTATTTTTATATTTTCTTTTGTACTTTTCGCAAATTTTTCTGTCAAAAAATAAATATATTTTAATCTCCATTTTTTTTTCTTTGTAGAACGTAGAGGAGGGGGGGGGGATTTATTTAAGTTCCGTTTTGGTTCGAGACCAGGTTCATACGATACGCGGAAGAAAAAAATAAAGGATGTGCGATTTAATTTTTTTTTTTTTTAAAGAAGCCATTTTTGAGCATTCTCACATTTTTTGGAAACTGGAACCTTCGGAAATATGGAAAAATTCACGATCCTTCAAAAATTATAGAAATTAGAAAACTCGTAATCAAAAACCTTCGTGAATCCTGTTGGGTACGAGTAATTGAATATGGTCCAACTCACGGAAATCGCCGTTACAACAGCTGATTTATTTGAATCTGTATTTCCTTTACATTTAAATTTGCCGTTACAACAGCCTGTGTTTATTCAAATCTATATCCGTTTATATTTAAATAATTCACTTTACCTCCAAGAAATTCAACCCTTGTCATTAATTACGGGGTCCATATTCGATTTGTCTTTACCTACACACGCTTCTAATCTCTCTCCCATGCCTAACCTCCAAGAAATTTGACGTTGTCATTAATTATGGGATCCATATTTGATTTATCTTTACCTGCACAAGCTTCTAATCTCTCTCCCATGCCTAACCCATAAGTCCTCCCATCTAACTTTAATTCATGCTCCCGATTTTTCCAGAGACTTGTTCAAATTTTAAATTATATTTCGTTCGCAATTTCAAACAAAAATTTCCTTCAGTTTGAATGTCCCGATGAGTTGACTGAGTTTTATATTGTCGCAATTTAAAGATTTGTATTAGTGTTGTTCAAAGTTATCTAGATCCTGTATCTAGATATAAAAATGTGGTATCTGTATCCAGATAGATTTTTGATTAAATAATCTGTATCTAGATATTATTTTAGACGTTGTATCTGTATCTAGGTCCATTTAAAAAGTATCTTTTAACAACTCTGGTGTTGTTAAACTACTCGGTTTAAAGTCGATTTTTTAAAACCGGCTAACTCGATATTTTAGCCGGAAAAATATTGTCTAAGTCCTCTAGATTGGCCTAATAGATGTCCAAATAAACCTTTCCCTATTAAAAAAAAATCTTAAGGCTTACCCAATTTTTTTGTGGCTAAAATATCGCGTTGGCCGTTTTTAAAAATCGGCTCAAAATGTACCGCTTTAACAACACTAATTTGTATTTTTATTAACATGCGTTGATGAGTAATTTCGATATTTCATAAAACAATAATCGATAATGTATCGGTAATATTAAGTCTATAGGTGTCCGTGCGGTCTACTTTGAGACTCCACCTAGGAGTCGATGTTATTTATTCAAATCATGCTGGCCGATTAATTAATTTGTTGTATCTGCCTATTTTTAATTGACAGATACAGGGACGTTTTTCGATTATATTTTCGATATGGTATTTTATTACGAAAAAAAAAAATTGTCTCCGTTTAAAATTGAATCACGTGATAATTATTGGAATTTCGTTATCGATATTAGAATATTGTAGATATACATATGAAATAATTTGATAACCTAATTTTCCTAATAGGTACAAATTTATTCTTTTTCTTTAAATATACTATTAAGATAATTATTTTCCTTCAAATTAAAATAATGAGGGGGTAGGAAGGAAATTCTACATGGTAGACAACTATTCTTACTTCAAAAAACATTTTAACATGAAATATAAACTAACGGTTCAAAATTTATAAAACAATATAAAATCACCCGATAGATGGCGCTTTATCTATATTTATTATTATTTTATTTTTTGTTTTTATTAAAAATATATATTTTTAAAATGGATGTTATTTATTATAGAAAAAATTTTTATATATTTTTTTTATGATAAATTTATTTTATAATTTATAGTTAAATG